GAGAAAAGAGAATGCCTTATTTATTATTTTATCTCCAGTGCTTTACATCAACCTAAGAGAGTTAAATTTGAAAGTCAATTCCAGATATACAACAAGATAATAGTCGGATACACTATTAAAAATTTGAAAAACACAAGGGAAATAAATGAACCAGCTCTTCCTGAATCAAACACAGTGAAAGAATTATAAATAATACAAAAATATGAGGGGTGGCGCTTGCGGTTCAGTGAGTAGGACACTGACCCTATATACAGAGGGTGGTGGGTTCAAACCCAGCCCCGGCCAAACTGCAACAACAACAAAACAACAACAACAAAAAGCCAGGTGTTGTAGAGGACGCCGGTAGTCTCAGCTACTCGGGAGGCTGAGGCAAGAGAATTACCTAAGCCCAGGAGTTGGAGGTCACTGTGAGCTGTGACTGCACAGCACTCTATTGAGGGTTAACAAGTGAAACTCTGTCTCAAAATAAATATATATATATATATCCTATTAAAAATCTATATCTTGGGCGGTGCCTGTGGCTCAGTGAGCAGGGCGCCAGCCCCATATACTGAGGGTGGGTTCAAACCCAGCTCCAGCCAAACTGCAACAAAAAAATAGCCAGGCATCGTGGTGGATGCCTCTAGTCCCAGCTACTCAGGAGGCTGAGGCAAGAGAATCACCTAAGCCCAGGAGTTGGTGGTTGCTGTGAGCTGTGATGCCACAGTAGTCTACCAAGGACGAAAAAATGAGATTCTGTCTCTAAAAAAAAAAAAACAAAACAAAACTATATCTCCTAAAAGTAAAAGGTTTTTCAGACTTTCTTCCTACAGTGTTAAAGATCAGCCAGCCAGCCAACCAACCAATCTTTGGGACTAATTCTTACCAAAAACAAAGCCTGGTAGATCTGTCTCACTTTCTTTGCTCCAGCTGCTGATATCAACATATACCAATCAGTAATTTCAATCAGATCACTAGCATGAAATTTACTATTTAATCTGCAAAGGTTGACTAAACTTTTTCTTTTTTTTATTTTGAGGCAGAGTCTTACTTTGTCTCCTTGGGTAGAGTGTCGTGGTGTCATAGGACACAACAACCTCAAACTCTGGGGTTCAAGAGATTCTCCTGCCTCAGCCACCTAAGGAGCTGAGGCTGCAGAATGCCTATCTAGCTTTTTCTTTTTTTAGTAGGGATGAGGTCTCAATCTTGCTCAGCTTGGTCTTAAATTCCTGAGTTCAAGCAATCCACCCACCTCAGCTTCCCAGAGTGCTAGCATTACTGGTGTGAGCTATTGTGCCAGCCTGTTTTTTTTTTTTTTCTTTTAAATTTTCAACAATAATACACTTCTGTGCCTGTTTTAGGTTAAATAAACTGCAAGGAGTACACAGAATATGTGATTCAGGGTATGAAAATTTTACAACTGGGTATAAAGTGGTCTGAACCAAGATACAATGTTAATCACTGTCATTAAGGCAATTTTAAAGTCCTCTGGGCCAAATGGTCAAATCCTGAATGAGCTAATTATTGAACATGACTGTGAAAATAGTTGATACTCCACAACCTTTAAAATACAGGATACCTCTGAAAGAGAAGGTTCAGAACACAGCTTCAGAAATATTTAAATTGAAAATCACTCTCACGAACAGTCTTTCATAAACAAGGTCCAAATAACAAGAATAAACTTTTTGGTCACCAACAAAGGTGGACTTTTCTGATTTATAGAAAGACTAAGAAAGAAAATTAACCCTTAGTGCCATATAGCCATGCATCACTTAATAGGGATTCCTGAGAAATGGGTCAATTTCACTGTTGTGCTAACACTGTAAGAGTACTTGCACAAACCTCGATGGCATAGCCTACTACACACCAAGGCTACAAACCTGTACTACACTTAAGACTATAGACAACTTTACCACAATGGCAAATATTTATAAAACTAAATATACCTAAGTGTTAAAAAAAAAAAAAAAAGGTGCAGCAAAATATAGTATAAAACAAAAGTGGCACACCTGTACAGACCACTTACCATGAATGGAGCCTCTGAAACTAGAAGTTGCTCTGGGTGAGTGAGTGAGTGGTAAGTGAACATGAAAGCCCAGGACTTTACTGTGCACTACTGTAAGGCAATGGTTTTCAACTCCATTATAATCTTATGGGACCACCATTGTATATTATTCTGTCGTTGATGGAAATGCTACATAAGTACTAAGATTTGACCCCAAAACGGCCTCTTTAAATGAAAAAATAATAATAGGGAAAATAAAGGGAGTGAAGTACGCCTAGCCTCAAACTGAATTCTTGCCTCAAGAATTTCAGAAGTCTCATTTCCATTTTTTTAAGAAGAGAGAAAGCTAATGCAATATATACTTTGTGAAGCTGAGAATGATGAGAAATAGGCTCACAATGTTCAAAGAATCTGACAGCCAAAGTCTCTGGGGATATAAAAAGGGGAACTGATTTGCTTTCTAGAATCAACTGCTGCTATGAGAGAAAGTGACTTCAAATCTGACAAAACTGGAGAAACTGAGACATGAGGTACCAGGTGACAGAAAATATCTTGTTAAAAAATACTTATCTGCAAGAAAAATAGTAAGGATGATAACTAATACAATTATTTGCTAAGTGGTTACGTGCTGGCGCACATACTTTCATACACGTGGAAGCTAGAAGTTAACTCATTTGCCTGCCAAGAAAGGAGATAGAGTATTAAGGACCCAAGTGCCCCAGACCTTAAGCCCAAGAGTATTCTTACAGGCTGTGTTATACTGCCTCCTACAGGTAACCAGAGACTGCAGAACACAGAGGAATAAAACAGATCTGGAATCTGTTGCTCATTAAAACAGAGATATATGTAGCTGGTACCTGGGGTTGATGCCCCCAAAGCAGTTATGGTCATTATAAAGAAACTAAAGAAATTATTAAGAATAATTCAAAGTGAAAACACTCAAAATATAATCAAGGAGACCAATACAAAACAATTCAGTAAGGGATGGCAAGACAAACATCACTTACTAAATTGTATTGTCCTCAATCTAATGAGAATGTTTAAGAAAGGAGATGGCCGGCAGATTAAAGAATTTCAAGGGGGGGAAGGGGAAGAAAGGGATAGTTAAGTTTAGAAAAGGTTTTACCTAAGAATTCCATGATCCAGATACATGCCTAGGGGAGGAGGATACACCCAAGCTAAATCTATACCACAAGGTTATCTAACTAATTCCCCTTCCTCTGATTTCAGGTTCACTAAGCAGCTAATTATAATTTGCATTCCCACTCAGATTTGCCTACAGGGACAGACTATGCTGATAAGATGAGTAACTAGTCCACCGTTAAGAAAATTCATTCCAATGTCTTTTTTAAATTTTCTAAATAACCAACCTACTATTATTTGGAAAATTAAACTTTCATTTTCGCAAGTCCCCTGCACTTCCATCATCTTTATAAATAACTTTAGGAATAAATTACTTAACCATCTAGAGCCTTAGATTCCTCTTCTGTAAATAGGAACAAAAGTACTTTGTGGAATAAATTAAATGTGTTTGGCACACGGAAAACAGGGAAATGTTAGCGCTCTCTCTCACTCCATTGGCCAAGCTCACAAAGCTAGTAATTGCAGAAAGCTGAGATTTGAACCCAGATTTACTCCAAACCCATTCTTTTTCCATTACGACATCCCTTACAGGCTCTTAGTCTCCGTTGTAACCCGGACTGTTAAGACTAAGGACAATTTACTTAACCTTTTGGGACCTTGTATCTTTAAGTGACTTTACTTTTAGGGTTTAGACAACTAAAATTTATGCAAAACAAAAAACTACTGCATTTGTCCACTGGGGAAAAAATATAGCCTTGTGCTTTAAAGTTAAAGCCCTAACTTCTGAAAACATGGGGACTGTGTCTGCTGGGTTACTGGTGTGCCTAATTAACTCCAGTGTAAGTGTGAACAGCAGGATCACTCCAATAAACACAGAGACTAGCACATATTTGAGTTAACTTCTAAAATCAATGACTGGCTACCAATACAAAAGAATGAATTCCATTCACCACCACAGGTTGTCTAAAAGTCATAAAGGACTGATCAACATCTGTTTGGCTTGAAAGACAGCAAAATGGTAAGGCTACAATCTTTACACAAGAAATGTTAATACAAGGAACAAGAAGTAAAGTACAGCTTGTTTTGTGAGGACTTGGGATTTTCAAGGAATTTGGTAAATAAATTCCCCATCAGTCCAAATCAACGACTTGATGCAAATTAACCTCACATTAAACACTTCTAAGACTAAGTTTAAAGTAGTTAAAGTAAACTGCATTTGTAAGAAACTCTGAAAAGGAGCGTTATAAAATAAAAGTTCAGAAATCTGGGTAGAAGTAAACAAGTAAAAAAACTCCACAATAATTTAGCAAAAGCCAACAACCCCTGGTAATAAAATTCAACAAGTTCAACACAGATGAATTTAGTAAAATTATTCACAAGAGAAAGGAGTTCCAAATAGCTTTCTCTACATATACATACTGCTCTCATATTTCACATTATCTTGACCCGACACAAAGAATTTTTTTCGACTGTTTTCCTGAAAGCGGTAGCGTTAAAGGTTAAGGAAATTGTTTAATCCATTCTTCACAGAGTTGCCAAATTTGACTTCCACCACCACGTTAAAAGTCTACGAACATAAGGCAGCGTCTCTAAAATCACAGCTAATAAAATTATTGACCGCAAAGACAACCTTTTAGATTAAAACCTTCAACCTCACTTTCTTTCTGATTCAATCTGATAAGGAATCTGAGTCATAAAATAAAAACAAATTCAGCGTTACGATTAGAAAGTTGTCATTCCAACCTCCTCCCCCCACACACATATACAACTTTTGAAAACTTGTTCCCAAGCTTTCTAACCCCCCACGCTTAAGCTCCCTGCACCTCTCAATGGGAACGACGCCTTCACTCAGGAAAATGGGGTTGGGGGGGTGTTTGTTTCCTGCTAAACCTTTCCGACAGATCTCAAAAAGTAGGAGCAGGATATACTGTACCTGGGCGTTGGCTTCGTGGAGTTTGTGTTCGGTAGAGACGTGGTGCCTCAGAAGAAGGGTTTTCTTATAATTGCGGGTCCCTCGCGAAAGCTCATCGTGTCCCACTTGGGGAAGGTCCACGCTCCCCCCATCCGCGGGGTTCTTTTGGCACCAGCCGCAAGACATAAGGCCAGTATCCTTGGAATAACGCAGCCAGGGAAAGTCCTTGAGCCAGGAGGTCTGGAAAGAACACTGTAGCTTCTGCATTAGTGATTTGGGCCGCGCGAGCGGGAAGTGCTGGACAGTCTCTCCTTCGCCAGCTCCCACACCACTGCCCTCCACTTCGTCCCCGCCATCGCCGCCCGACCGCCTGCTGCCACTGCAGCTGCCGCCTTCCGGCCCGCTGCCGTCGCCCAAGCTCGCCCCCTCCTCCTCGTCTTCGGTGCTGTCGCTCAGGGACGCGCCGTCCTGCATCAACTCCTTCCCCTCCAGCGCGTCCAGGTCCAGATCCACAGCCGCCGGCCCTCGTCCATTGAAATGCCTCAGGGGCCACGCCGAGGTCTCGGGGCGGCCGCGGCTACTGCCATTGTTGCCGAGACCCCCGCCGCCGCCTCCTCCTCGGAAGGCCAGAGTCCGACGGTTCCTTTCCGCTAGCAAGGGGCCCCCCGCGCCACCGCCGCCCAGCGAGGTGGGGCCGCTCGCGTCTTGGGGGAGCAGCAACTCCTTAGTTTCCTCGGCTGCGGCGGCCGCCCCAGCAGAGGCCTCCAGGTCTTGGGGCTCCAGGCCCTCCAATTCCACTTCCTCGTCGGCCCCCCGCCCATTGGGCTGCTGAAGCGCGGGCGGCCCCGGCGGCGGGGGCTGTCTCGGCTGGGGCTGCTGAGGCCAAGCTGAGGCCTCCCCGCCAGCGTTATTGTTCGTGGAGCCGCCGCCGCCGGAGGTGACCAACCCGCCTCCTCGGAACGCCAGCGTCCTGCGGTTCATCTCACTGAACGACATGGCGCGCGCCGCCGCCCGGTGCCCC